AAGTAACAAAAATAAGAAGAAAGAAAACGACTAAGAAGAAGAAGAAGAAGCAAAAGAAGAAAGAAAAGGGCACAGCGAGCAGCGGCCACCCAACTGCAGAGAGTCTACTTGGAAACATCGAAAGAGATCCGAGAGCCTCCTCTGGAGAACACGACTGCCTCCTGATGTACCACCGGTAACGTACAATTGAATCTACTATCGTTTGCAATTATCTCTGTATTTCTATATTTTTGCGTATTTACTGAGTGATTTTCATATTTTGCGCAATATTTCCTATATTTTTCCTATTTATTTACGACCTATTATGTATTTTCTATAACTTTTACGTATTTTCCCCATATTTATTCGTATATTTTGCGTACTATTGTCGAACCTTCTTGAAACATATTTCCAATCACCATGTCAGGGCACGGATCAGATGATTACCAAGCACCTGAAGTTCTTGATAACGCTCATGCAAACATCGAGCCTTATAGACTGTCCGAAATATTCTCAATCGTCCCTGAATACGATGACAACCCGATATTGCTTTCGACTTTTATCAACGCATGTAGAACAGCGCACTAAATGGCTGTCGAGGAACAGCGTCTCCTCGTCGTCCTACATATAAAACACAAACTGCGCGGACGAGCAGCAGAACTCGTCAATTCCCGTAACCCTTCGACATGGGAAGACATACGGTCTCTCCTTGAAACACATTTCGGAGATCTTCGAAATCTCACATACTACCAAATGAATCACCACTAACCTTTGCATCAAGACTTCAAACTCACGCGGCGAAGATGCATTCAGCCGTCAATCGACAAAACATGAACCGAGAGCAGAAAGCTGCTCAAAGTTCATTGATAGAGACCATGACTCTAAACTGTCTCCTTACAGGACTAGATTCCAAAATTGGTCCGATTGTAAGATCAGGTCACCCAATAGATATCCTTAATGCAGTCGCTTTTATCAAGCGCGAACTACAATTATCATATCTTGAGAGACAAAAATTTTCAAGAGCTCCTAACTCTAATCAAAATTCTTCCATTAAGAAACCATGTCCGAGAGTGTGCAATTTCTGCCACCGACCAGGTCATTTAGCAAATGAGTGCCAGCGAAGACTACAGCTCTCACATAATATTCCGAGACCAGTTTTCCAGCCCCAATCATTTTCGCCTCGAACTAACCCTAACCCTCCAACACAAAACAATAGGTCCCCCAGTTCCAATCATTACCATCACAGACCCTCTGTTATTAGGCCAAATGTTCCTAATACTAATGTACCAAGAGCTTCTGTTATACAACAGAATCCGAAATTCCAAAACCCTAACTTCCAAAGAAGCTTCCGACCAAGCAATTCCACAAATCGAATCAACTACGTAGCCCCAGATTGCTACGAATATTCCGAGTACCTTGAACCCGACCTTTTCAATACAAATTATGCCAGCGAGTATGGTACAGAAACCCAATACCCTGCTTACACCCCCTCGCAGTATGACGAATTCCCTGACCCTGGTAGTAATAACGATTTCTGTTATGAATACGATGATACCGCTGATTTATAGCATGCAGTATCAGGATTTTCGCGAACGTTCTCCGAAAGAAGAACCGCCTGTGAAGCCCAACGACAATTCCGATCATATGATTGCGAGCTTGCAAAAGCTCAATGTCAAAGACCGTCATACAACGTCAACTTCCGACCAAATGTTCGTTTAGATGAACATATTATAGTCCCGTCGACAATTCTCTCCGTCAGCCCAAACAACTTATACTACATCAACGACGCGACAGGAAAATTCAAAATCCTTATTGACAGTGGTGCCAGGTGTTCCATTTTCAAGCGAAACACCTGCCAAAATTACACGAAACATGTTGCCGAAAATATCTCCATCCGAGGTATTACGGACGAAAAAATTTTTATCACAGAAGCAGTTTTAGTTCCCTTTGCTCCCAACGATTACCACAAAATTTATATTCACGATTTAGATATTGCTTTCGATGGTCTCCTTGGTTCAGATTTCCTCGAGCACTACGATTGCATTATCGATTTGAAAAATCGTCAGTTAATCACAAAATTCTAAAACATCCCTCTTTTCAAAGTAGGTGATGAAGAAAATACCCAAACTTTTGATTTCAAAGGAAATCTCCAAACTTCTAATTGCAAAGAGAATTCCCAAGTTCAAAATGTCATCTCAGTCCCTCCTAGAGTTGAACAGGCTGTCAAGCTTAAGTTAGAGCTTAAAAATACCGAAGCCATTCTTCTGGCATGCGAGGTAGAACAAGTCAGTCTACCCAGCTCCATCGTCAAAATCAATTCTAACGGCGAATTTCTCACTACAGTCTTGAACTGTAATGCCATTCCTAAAAATGTGATTTTGCCCAAATTAGAATTTGAACCCTTTAATGAAACGTCCGTCAACAATTTTGACATATCCCTGAAGAACAAGAGTCAGTATAACCGTAGAGATGCTATTCGAGATTAATTACGTCTTGAACATCTTAACGATGAAGAGAAAGAACTTATTACCAACCTTTGTCTAGAATTTTCCGACATTTTCTATTTAGATGGTGACAGTTTGTCATTCACCAACGAAATTAAACATTCCATTGACACTACAACCAACAAACCAATTTTTACTAAGTCTTATCCCTACCCTCATGTCCACAAACAAGAAGTGAAAGACCAAATTTCCAAACTGCTGAAACAAGGAATTATTGAACCTTCGAGTTCACCTTGGAATGCCCCTGTCTGGGTAGTCCCAAAGAAAATGGACGCTTCGGGCAAACAAAAATGGCGTATGGTGATCGATTACCGTAAACTTAACGAAATCACCATTGATGACAAATACCCGTTGCCAAACATTTTCGATCTGCTAGATCAATTAGGGAAATGCCAGTACTTCAGTACACTAGATTTGGCATCTGAATTTCACCAAATTGAAATTAATCCAGCCGATGTTGCCAAAACCGCTTTTTTGGTTGAGAACGGACACTATCAATTCTTGAGAATGCCTTTTGGTCTCAAGAACGCTCCTGCCACATTCCAACGTATTATGGACAACATCTTGAGGGGTATACAAAACGAAAGATGCCTTGTATACATGGACGATATTATTGTCTATTCTCCTTCCATCCAAGAACATATCACCAGACTTTCCGAAATTTTCAAACGTCTCCGAAACTCGAATTTTAAGATTCAGCCAGATAAGTGTGAATTCCTCAGAAAGGAAGTAGCCTATCTTGGTCACGTAACCCCTGATGGCGTTAAGCCCAATCCGGATAAAGTGGATTGTATAACAAATTTCCCACAACCCAAAAGTCCTAAAGAAATAAAATCATTCTTAGGTCTTGCCGGTTACTACAGACGCTTTATCCCAAACTTTGCTAAAGTTGCGAAACCCTTGACCAGACTATTGCAAAAAGACGCAGTCTTCGATTTCGACAGCGAGTGTGTTAAGTCATTCGATACCTTGAAAAATGCTTTAACAACATCTCCTGTACTGATCTACCCCAACTTCGAAGAACCGTTTGTGCTTACTACGGATGCAAGTGCTTTTGCAATATCCGGCGTACTTTCCCAAGAACCTATTGGTAAAGATCTTCCGATAGCCTATGCATCTCGTACACTGTGCAAAGCAGAGACGAGGTACTCTACGATTGAAAGAGAACTCCTAGCTATTGTTTGGAGTGTAAAACATTTTAGACCCTATTTGTACGGTTGAAAATTTAAATTGGTCACAGATCACCGACCATTAACTTGTCTTTTTTCTTGCCGTGATACCGGTAGTAGGTTAGCAAGATGGCGCCTCAAGTTAGAGGAATACGACCATGAAATAGTCTACAAGCCAGGCAAAGGCAACAAGAATGCCGATGCCCTATCCCGCATTAAACTACCTACGAATGTTAACTCCCTTAACCCTAGTGATGGAGAAGGTTCCCCTTCTACTCAATTTTTCGAAAATGAATTTGATGTATTTGCCCGCCTTTATAAAACCACCTCTTTAATAGACTATTCCAAAATTCAATTTTCTAACTCCCAACTTCTAGACAAAAGCCACAAACACATAGTCACATTTTTCAGACAAAACACCCTTTCTGATCTTCATGAAAAAATCATCGAAGAAATATTCGAAACCAATCTCGAATTTTCTGCAGACAAAATTAACATCGGTTCTAGTAAGACTGTCAAAGATAGGAAATATTATATAATTCCCGTGCCGTACGATCCTTCGACTTGCGTACAACATCTCTTCACCCTTATTTTAAATAACAAAGGTGTATCCGATTTGTCCCAACAAATCTACGTCGAAAATAACCTAGATTTGCCGATCCAAGAAATATTTTCTTTCATATTTTCCGACGAAAATGTCAAAATTGTCATTTGTCAGAATGTAACTAAAACTCCAAGCCCTGATGAAATTCCAATCATTTTAGACCAATACCATTGTAGTAAGAAAAATATCCACAGAGGTATTAACGAAACTATCAGACGTATCCGTGAACGATACAATTGGCCCGGTTTGACTAAGGATGTCGAACATTTCATCAAGAAATGTGAAATTTGTCAGAAAACTAAAATCTGCCGAAAAAACCTCAGTACCCCTTTGGTTGTCACAGAAACTCCAAAAGCTCCATTTGAACGCATCAATATTGACATTCTAGAAGTCCCGCCTCAGTGCTATGCTCTTACAATCCGAGATGAACTTACAAAATGTTCCCAAGCCTATTCTATTAACGACAAGTCTGCTAAATCTGTCGTGAATAGACTTATTTTTTATTTCCAACATTACGGTACACCCCTTCGAATACATTGCGACTATGGCAAAGAATTTGACAATGCTCTTATGAAAGACCTCTGTAGTCTTTACGATATCAAAATGACATTCTCTAGCGTTAGTCATCCCCAGTCCAATGGATCGATCGAACGATTCCATGTCACTTTATTGGAAATGATTAAAACGCATGTATCTGAAAATCCGAACGAACACCCCTTTAATATCCTACCCTATGCTGTTCAGTGCTACAATAGCACAAGGAACAAAACCACAGAATTTTCTCCCTACGAACTTGTCTTCGGACATACATCTGGTCATCCCCCAGAACACGTCTACATTGAAAAGGAATTGATGTCTAAATACCTTCAAGATATTCGGAATAAGCTCGAATATTATTATAAAATAGCCCGTTCCAGAACGGACGAACAAAAGCAAAAGGCTAAGGTTCGTTTCGATAACAGAGTATCACCGAACCTCCAAACGCACAAAATTGGTGACAAAGTCTTTGTCAAACAGTCCCAAATTTCCAATAAGCTTCAAAATAAATTCGATGGACCATATGAGGTCATTCAAGTATTTGAAAATTCGGCATTGCTCAAAAATCCAGAATCAAACATAACAACTAAAGTCAATTTCGACAGACTGAAACCATGTTTTGAGACTTAGTTTCTCTTCCAGGTGCAGTCTGCTGTTTTTTGCTGCTGTTTGTACGGCCCAGATTGACATAGAACCCATTAACAACACATTAGGTATTTACTTGCATGAAGATGGCCCTCTCAAAATTTCTAATGAAGTTTGGACACTATTCGTTTTCAAAGATTTTGAACTGATCAAAAAGGCGCTCGACGATAACAATAATATCCTGGAATACTTAACCGTTCTCGTAAATGAACCCACTAATCGCATGAAAGTATTCAGAAGTGAAATTAAGACATATACGAGCCTTCTCTACCAAATTTCCCGTTCCTTGAAAACCAAATGTTACGAAATTCTCGACGATACAGCTAGCGCATCGCGAATGAAACGTGGCCTAATTAATGCCATAGGTACAATTTGGAAAGCAATAACAGGTAACCTCGATTCATCTGATGGTGAATATTATAACGACTGCATTAACAAAATTTCCAAAGACGAACATGAGCTTGAAAACCTGATGAAAAATCAGATCTCGGTAACCATGTCGGTTATTAAGAACTTCAATAATACTATTCAGAAACTGCAAATTGACAATTGCAATTTGTATTTTGCAATTTTATTACTCCTACTTTTATATTTTTATATTTTACAATGTTTACAATTTTACGTTTCTACATTTTTACATTTTGAATTTTTACATCTTTTACACTTTTCTAATTTTGTCAAAAGTTGTCGCATGGCAACAACTTTTTGTAATAGGGGGAAGTTGTTATATGCACTCACAACAATATATATATATATATATATATATAGGTATATATATAATCGTTTAAAAAAAAGTATATCCAAGTGCATGTGCCTAGGTGGCTGTTGGTTAAACATCGTTGAATCCCTATGGTAACGAGTCCCTTTATATCGCTTATTTTTAACATACACATCTGAACCCTCAAGTGTAATTCTTGAGTTAAGAATCATTAATGCCTCTATAGTATTGTCTAACCCTATAAGTTATGGAATCCTGATGATCATTTTGAAGATTTACAGTTTCATTCTACTATAAGTTACCCTGTTATTTTTACTGCTCTAATTATTTTATTGGTTTTATTTATTATAATTTTTGTTAGATACCGTTATGTAAAGGATACTAAAACTCCACCTCAAAGTAGCGATATATAAGAAACTTCTCCTTAAAATTAAGAGTTCGAATCATTTTTTTGAGATTGGAGACCAATCTTTTCGAGGAGGGAGGAGTTATGGAATCCTGATGATTACCATTTCAACGGTACGGCTAACACCGTACCGATGCCCTTTTGATTAATCGTCGTCCATCCGGTTTCTAGTTACAGCTTTAGGTGTTATCTTCGTGAGAACATTACCGACTTTGCATTTTGCTATGTTTTATTTCTTATAAACTGAATATGAAATGTAATTAGCGTTTTTGTCATCCTGTTTTCAACCAATAAAGTTCCTGCAATAGTTTCGAACCGAAACCACACTGAGTTTCATTTCTTATACCATATTTATGATCAAATTTCTTATTTTCAGTATCATCATACATTTCTCTGGTGTATTTTCTCGGTAACGGATCATATTGTTCTAAATAATCCCGAAACGATACATCACTTATATCTTTCAATCGATTACGATATTCCTCTTTCTTTTGCATCTCATCTTCATCATTAGAATCATAATCGTCATCATTTGAATTAATATCATCTATTATGGATTGTTTTAATTGACTAGGGATGCATTATGACCCATCTTGGCAGATAGTATCCTCCTTCGGGGACTTGATACTTTTCTTTGTCGAGGAGCCATTCTTGGAGTTTCCGTGGATGTTGCAGTCTTCGATGTAGTTGCAGAAAATGGTTTTGATTGCGAAGATACTGGTGTTGATTCTTCAAAAACAAGTCCATAATCTTCATAGTCTTCATCATCATCATAACTTTGTAAGTGTTTTTCGTTTTTAACTTTTACCAAATTATTGTCTTTTGATGCAGCAAAGCAGTGGTACCAGGTGTTGAATTTTGTAATGTATATTCAATATTCCTTAGATGCTTTGTTATAGGATTAAACTTGGATTCTTGAAGCATTTCGCCATGTTTCAGTTGTTGTAACTTGGCTCTAACATTCTTACGTTTAAGAATAAGCTTTTTCTTCCAGTCTTTATCAATTATCTGCATATTGTATGTGGGTATGTATGTATAGATTTTATGGTCTGCAATTGAACAGATTCTGATCAGGTTTTTATCAGCACTTGAACTAGTTTTGATCAGCTTGGAACAGGTTTTGATCCGCTTTGAACAGCTTACGATCAGCTTTGAGCAGATGCTATGATCTACTATCACTTCTATATTGAAATGATCAGAACAGCTTTCTGTTGGTGATTTTATACTTATGAAAAGCTATATGTGTATGAAGTGATCGACATTTTTGCTATATCTAAAAATTAAACGTTGTATCAGTACCGATGTGATCGTTGTATATATGCTTCAAGTTCAAATCATCTTGTTTGAAAATAATTAGACAGTTGGCATTATCCCTTATTAGATGCTTACCGATTTTTGCGTATGACTGACACAAATAAAATGAGTCAATCTTATTATGTCGTATGCTGAAATATTCGCGGATGACATCATGATTATCGCAATGCACATCGTCAAATATAACAATTGAATTTGGTTTAGCTTCTGACGGATGTAATATACTTTCACTTGCATTAAACGGATAATAACCAACTCCTTTTATTGGTTGCAATAACTGCTCCAAAAATACATATTTGGGTTGATACAATGATTTTGATTATACGTACACATGTTCAAATTTCAGTCGGCAGGGGTATCACGTAACTTTAGAAGTGACATTATACCGATTTTTTTTGACATTATGTTGTTTTTTTTTTGACATTATGCTGGTTTTTCACCAAGACGTTGATATAGTACTAGCGGTTCACACTAGTCGTGAACTCGTTTGTAGTTGTACGTGTTGCCTAAACGTTATGATCTGTGAGTTTGGCTACGATGTGATGTATCAAGTGCTTCAGAGATGGCATTATATTCTAGGTCTAAGCTGTAACGTATACTATAGACTACATTTGGAAGGAAAAGGCAGTGCATAGGTACATAGTGAGGATGTGCGTGCTAATCACTGGACAACAAATTTTAGTTTTTTAATTGTATTTTGTGGGAAAAGTGCACTTCTTTGTTAATTTTGGGGCGCTGAATCCAAAAATGACAATGAAATAAAAAAATTAGTTGCGGTTTAGAAAAAAAACTTTTTATTTTTAAGGATATATTAAAAAAAGTAACAAGATTCATATACTTATAAGAATCACTATATGCGCTGTCTTTTTGCTGTTCTTTTATGGATCGTTTCTGGAGCATCTCTACCAAAAGTCCAACAGTAGTCTGCAAGCATGGAAGGATTCCACTTTCCCTGGTACCTTTTTTCCATTGTTGAAATATCCTGATGAAAACGTTCGCCGTGCTCATCACTTACGGCTCCGCAATTGTCAGGAAAAAAGTCCAGGTGTGAGTGTAGGAAATGTATCTTAAGAGACATATTACAGCCCATCTTTTGATACAATGACAGCATATTTTTGACAAGGGTTTTATAGTTGTCAGCTTTTCTATTTCCCAAGAAATTAGTGACCACCAGACGGAAATCATTCCAAGCAGTTTTTTCAATACCTGTTAAAGTGTTTTCAAACTGTGTATCTTTCAAAATATTTCGAATCTGTGGCCCAACAAAAATACCTTCTTTAACCTTTGCCTCACTTAGTCTTGGAAATTTCTGACGCAGGTATTGAAAAGCTGACCCATCTCTATCTAATGCCTTTACAAAGTTTTTCATTAGGCCCAACTTGATATGCAGTGGTGGTAATAAATTTTTTTTCGAATCTACTAATGGCATATGCTGTACATTTTTTTGACCTGGCTCTAGGAATGGAAAAACAGGCCAGTTTTGTCTGGTGTAATGAAGTGCCTTTGCCGGACTGTCCCATTCACACAAAAAACAGCAAAACTTTGTGTAGCCTAGCTGCAGCCCAAGTAAAAGTGCAACAACTTTCAAATCGCCACAAATATGCCATTGGTGCTCATCGTATTTTATGCATGTCAATAGGTACTTCATATTGTCATATGATTCTTTCATGTGAACTGCATACCCTACAGGAAGAGATGGTAAAATATTTCCAATATGCAATAACACTGCCTTTAAACTCAATGTTGAACTGTCTATAAACAATCTCCATTCTTCTGGGTTATAGTTTGTATTTAAAGCCGCCAGTAAGCCGTTAATGTTACTGCAGAAAACCAAGTTATTCTCCATATTGAAAAATGGTTCTAAGTCTTTGTGGCGTTTACGAAAAACACATACCGAAACATCGTCTTCTAACAAGTTCCACTGCTGCAGTCTTGATCCAAGTAACTCTGCCTTACATTTTGGAAGTTCTAAATCTCTTACAAGATCATTTAATTCTGACTGTGTTATTTTGTGCGGTTGGTGGCATGACGTGCTCGGTATAAAATCAGGATCTCTTGACGGTGGTGGCATATCTTCTTCCTGACGAATCACTCGATCGCCATGATCTGATTCGTTTTCTGATTCGGAAGTGTAGGATTCTGGGGGTTTTGGAATAGGATTTTCGTCACTGTGAGGCACAGGTCTCATCGCAGATGGTATGTTTGGGTAGTTAATAACCGATTTTTTTTTCTTGGACATACCTGTGGATTGTCCAACACAAGGTACAATGTAAAAGTAACAATCATTAATATGATTTTTAGGCTCTCTCCAAACCATTGGGACAGCAAATCGCATAGACCGTTTTTTGCCATTTAACCAGCTCCTCAGACTTGAAGCACATGTATTACAGCAGATGTGGGGTGCCCACTGTTTGTCTTGATCACCTAGTTTACAACCGAAATAAAGTTGATATG